CAAGTGACTTTTCCCTAGTTGGGCCTCTTTTTCAGTGACAGTAGAGGTTGCACCTGCTCTAATATCATATTGAATATAGGTCTCCCAGCACGGTTATTGCATCTCTCCCATCACTATATGTATCCTCATTTCAGTGGTGCACCCCGATGTGTTTGCTGCATGAGCAAAAGACCCTTGAGTCATTGCTTTTACAGCATATTATTGTACTTGGCCTAACCATGATGTCTCTCTTTATTTTTTGGTTTTAGGTTGTTTTTGTATTGTCAATGATGAGGTGATGGCTACCTTGCAGTCTTTATTCAATTGTCTCATATTGCTATTTTGCTAATAAAAGCATTATATGATTACATTTAAGAGTATCACATTGTCGTTCATGTAACCACTTTTCTCCTGTGAACAATCTGTTCACACTGTTTTTTCTGTAGGTCTCTTGGTTATTGGGCAATATTTACTATTCAAAGTGATACCCATTACTTTTATGCCTTCATTTACATGGTTATTATGTTATTTAATACCTTCCCACTGTACATAAATGGCTGGACGCAACAAGTGACATTCTGGGAGAATATGTGGGTACAGAAACTGAGCACTTCTGGGCATGATCTGTGACTGCTGTGTCTGGTGGACTGCAGATCATGGTACAGGGCCCCTGTGATTGGCCCTGGTAACAAGTAATTGCTTTGACCAATCACAGCGATCATATAACCAGTAGTAAAAAAAGGCCATTGTTTACTACTGTAATCTCTGTGATTGGTCACAACAATCATATGGTATCACAGCAGCCCTGTACCATGTGATAGCTGTAGCCAATCACAGCTAACAGTGTAAAAAATGATTGTTTATGCAGCCATTGTGGCTTGAAGGTAGTCTTTTTTTATATAGCAAAACATTTAAAACCCACTAATGATTAAATGGCAACAAAAGAAAGCTCCGTCTCAAAAAATATAACAATTTTGTTTGGGTACAGTGTTATATGATCAAGTAATTGTCACTCAAAGTATGACAGCACTGAAATCTGAAAAGTGTTTAATGAAATTGTATTTTTAATGGTGCCCTTTAAGTATTATTCAAATCCTCGCCCCTAACGACCTCCCCTCCTCATGAAACTGTTGTTTTTTCTTTTAACCACTTGCCTACCAGGCACTTATACCCCCTTGTTTACCAGGCCAATTTTCAGCTTTCAGCGCTGCCGCACTTTGATTGACAATTGCGCGGTCATGCAACATTGTACCCATATGAAATTTTGATCATTTTTTTCTCACAAATAGAGCTTTCTTTTGGTGGTATTTAATCGCCACTGGGCACTTTACTTTTTGCGCTATAAATAATAAAATTGCAAAAAATTTGAAAAAAAAAAAGTTTCTTTGTTTCTATTTTAAAATTTTTCAAACAGGTATTTTTTCTCCTTCACTGATGTGCGTTGATGAGGCAGCACTGATGGGCACTGATAGGCAGCACTGATGGGCACTGATAGGCAGCACTAATGAGGTGGCACGGATAGGCGGCACTGATAGACAGCACTAATGAGGTGTCACGGATAGGCGGCACTAATATGCAGCACTGATAGGCGGCACTGATAGGTGACACTGATGATGGGTACTGATAGACGGCACTGACTGGCATCACTGCTGGGCACTGACTGGCAGCACTGACTGGCACAACCCCTGGGCACTGACTGGCGACACTGACTGGCAGCACTGCTGGGCTGCACTGGTGGGCAGCACTGGTGGGTGGGCACAGGTGGGTGGCGCTGGTGGGCACAGGTGGGTGGGCACAGGTGGGTGGCACTGCTGGGCACAGGTAGGTGGCACTTCTGGGCACAGGTAGGTTGCACTGCAGAGTGGCACAGGTGGGTGCACTGCTGGACACAGGTGGGTGATCTGCTGGGCACAGGTGGGCGGAGCTAGTGGGCGCACTGCTGGGCGGAACTTGCGGGTGGCACTGCTGGGCACCGATCATCAGGGCACTGATCATCAGTGCCCTAATGATCGGTGCCGATCCCCGCTCTGACAACTGCCAGTTCTCGGCAGTAGTTTCCTCACGATCTGACAGCGTGAGGAAAGTGCAGCCGAGAACCGGCACTTGCATTTCCCTCTGATCAGCATGTCATTGGACACAGCTGATCAGGTGGTAAAAGGTAGCTGTGATTGGCCTTTTACCACATCACGTGATCAGCTGTGTCCGTAGGACACAGCGATCATAGAGATCGCCGGGTGCGCGCCCCCTGGGGCGCGCAGGAGAGCGCGTTCTGGGAGGTCGTCATATGACGTCCACCCACAACTGGCCGGCCGCAGTGCAGCCGTCATTCGGCTATCTGCGGTCGGCAGCTAGTTAATTGTTTGCTTTAGTGCATGTTCCTCTGGGAAGTGTCCAGCTCCCCGCACCATTTGTTTCCTAATCCTGTGCCTATTCACACTGATGTGGTGCGGGATTTGCATCAAAATCTGTGCATTTCCAGCACCACCTCAGAAACACACTCTGTTCATGTGAACCGCTGCAGTGTCAATTTTAAGTCAATGATACCCCAAAAAGGTTTGCAGAACGCAGTGCACTTGGGCGAATTGGATCACATGGGTGTGAACACCCATGCAATCCAACTCCAGTGTGAATAAAAAAAGGTGCATACTCCTTTCCTGCGGGTGCGGTGCGATTTGAGCCATACAAAGTGAATGGCGAATTGGATCATATGGGTGTGAACACCCATGCAGTCCAACTCCAGTGTGAATAAAAAAAGGTGCATACTCCTTTCCTGCGGGTGCGGTGCGATTTGAGCCATACAAAGTGAATGGCTCAAATCGCACTGCAAAGAATCGATGCGATTCCTGTCTAAATCACATGCAGGTTTTCCCTGTTCACTAACATTCATCTCCTATTTATTTCAATTAGGGGGTTCATATTTGGCATCTGAACTTCAGTAACATTCGCTTAATCTGACTCAAAGTGAGCACAGGTAGGTTGGCCCCATCCTTGTTCATGAGCAAATGGGTGCTCAGCCTTTTTCACCCAGCAGCAGAATCCAACAATAGTCCTGGGTGCAGCTGACCAATCATGGGGTCTGGCAACTTGGAGTCCCTCACCTTGAGTAGGTGAGAAATCTAAGTGACACATACAAACTGTCCACAATCGTATATATGAGATAGGATAGAGTGAATAATAAGCAATTTCTGTTTTACAAAATGAGGCAATGTTGCTAACATTTTTCCTCATAAAATACTAAAAAATATAAATTTTACATTGCCAATACAACCAGTTTCTGTATAGGAAAGTTTTATAAGTGTCCTTCACGTGTTGCCCTAATATTTACAAGCACAAGTTGGCATAATATATTAAGCATTACATGCTACAAGCTGCAAGACATGAACAAATTAAATAATAGAATAATTTAAAAAAAAAAACACAAAGGTGAATTCATTTCAGGTGGCTAAGTTGTAGGCTCATCCATTCATTTTTCAGAATTGACTTTATCCCTGGTCGTACTTTTTTGTATTATCCAAACCTCACCATTTAAACTTTTTTGCTCAAATAGAAATACTTAACTGTGAGTTTCTCTATCTGCTGCCCTTTTAGGGCAAGGTTCTCGCCTCACCTCGTTACAGCTACTTCAGGAACAGAACTATAGTTAAAAGAACACTTTTAAATCAGGGGATTTTAACTAGAAATACCTTACATATCAAATTCTAACAGTTCCGTTGCATTTGTTCTTATGTCATACTGAATTCAGCATAAATCTGAAGTCCAATAGGTGACAAAGACATGTAATACATGGTGATCTTTCCACTCTAACCTGTTCTGATATCAATATCCACCCATATTTACATGCCTACTCCTTTTGTAAGTTGCACTTTGTGGTTATCATTCTTCCACCCTTTACCTACTTTCCACCCCTATTGACCTGTGTGGTTAATTGTGAATCATTCAATCCAAAATAAAACATTTGCCTATGGCCTTTTTGTGTGTATAAGTCTATCTTTACATGTTCACTTAGAAACATAAAAATTATACTGTAACACAAAATATATTACATGAAAATGCGATGTTCAAAAAACATTAAAAATGGTTTAAAAGAATCAAATAGCAGAAACTGAAATAGAAAGATACTGTAACACTATTGCATTTGTGCTAAATTAAAGTAATAGTCTAATTAGCACATGTATACTTAAAGTGGAACTACACTGCACCTGAGCACCAAAAACGCAATTTAATTCATTTTTAATATTCAATAAACTCTCCCATCCATCCATCCATCCGATAATGAAAAAAACTCCTGCGCTCAATGGAACACCTATTAATAAGCAGCACACACTCGCCTCAACCACAAGGAAAGAACATAAAAATACAAAAAATAGTGCAGCGCTAACAACCTATACTAAAATACAAATGAGATAAATGGAAATATCACATATAGAATGCACAATAAATATTCAGTGTTAGGTGCTCATAAAATGAATACTATGTGCAGCAGTCCATAAATACCAATGATGGTGAAAAATCACAGCAACACTCCGTGAGGTGATCACAGTGCCACTCAGTGTGCGGTCAATCCACAGATGGCCAAGATGGCCCCTCACCTCCTTGATGCGACTGGAGGGATTGTGGAGCAAGTGGAGCTTCATGCATTTCTTAGCATGAGAACCATGGAAACACACCCATGATATGGGAAAAAAAAATGATCTTTGTCATTTTACATGTGAGTGGGCATTTTATTTATATTTCATGTTATTATTAAAACTGGATTACACTATGGAGGATCTTATTTGTTTTTAATGGTATCTTAAACAGTTTTTGTGGAATCGAGTACCTAGGAGATAGGAAGATATTGGAGGGATCTATCTATACGTTCCATCCTTTGATGATACCTTTAGTTGGGTGTATGATGAGCGAAGTATTTCAAAAATTCGATTCGACTGATTCGGCGAATTCGTGGAAAAATTTCGATTCGAGTCGAATATATTCGCTGTGAATTTAACTATAAAAAGGTGTTTCTTGGCTTCAGAGAGACTTAATATGTAGTGCTGAAACACTGTACCTTTAATTTAAATGCCTTGGAGTCTGCTGGGGAAGAGAAATAATACTGTCAGTCCAGTATGACATGCAGATGAGTGCCGGCGATCTTAGAATCACCGACACACTTTCACTATCCATCTTGGGCAGTGTCACCGGGGCCAGAAACCAGAGTGGTGTAGCCATAGGCTGTGGGCCGGTGGAGGCAGCAGCAATGGGCGGCCATACAGCACCCTATGGCAAAAATGATAACCACCAGCAGTGTGAGGAGAACCTGAAAGTGGGCACAATGGCATAGAGTTGGCGATAGAGACAGCAGCAAGGGAGATCCGTAGCAGGGACCTCATGTACACACTCGCTGCACCTGGGCAAGCAAGCATGAGGAGAGCGGTACAGGGCCCATGACAGATGACGGGCCTGCACAAGCATGAGGTGATCGTGACTAGGGGCCCATAGGCAGATGAACTGGCCTGGCAGCAGCAAGTTGAAAGTCCGTACAGGGACCCCATGACAACACTCTGGACCTGGCAGCATGCATGACGGTAGGCAGCCCATACAGATTACGGACGTGAATGCTGACATGAGATTGGACGAGCCTTCGCGACAACGCTGACCCTGCAACTATCATGAGAGGCGACACCATAGACAGAGGAACGAGCCTGCACAGCAACTGACATGACGTCAACTCTCATGCACCGTCTGTTGCGTGGCTCGACAATCTGTTTTGGTCTACGTTCGGAATCAGATCTCCCAAGAAAGGACTGCTGACTACCAAGGAGTGATCCGATTTGAAGAGGAGTAGGTGCGTGGAGACAGGGAGCATACTTTTCGAACGGACGATAGATGCCCAACAAGGCGACTCAACCAGGGCCCGCATTCGACAAGATGATCGGGCCTGGCAGCCAGCATGAGGCCGCCTATAGGGGCCCATGGCAGATTTAGGCCTGGCATAGCTGCGTAATTAGGCCCTAATCTGTCCAGCACCCCTAATGACATCCAAAAGAATTGATATCCCACCTGCAGTGTAGGAGTCCTTATTAAGTGCACATGGCATGAGTGTGGCGATGGAGTAACAGCAGCGCAATGGGTCAGGCCGGTACGTGGACCCATGAAGAGAACGTCTGGACCTGGCAGCAGCATATGAAAGGCAATTATAAGGGGCCCTTGGCAGATTAGGGGCACTGGCAGCAGCTATAGGAGGCCCGTAAATCTCCACACACCCTATTGACCATTAAAAGTGGATACACACACCAGCGAGATCGTGGTGAGGAGGACCTAAAAGTGGCACATGCATTGGGGCCATGACGCTTGCCATGAGCTGAATTAGAGTCCAGATTTGGTCAGGACTGTGGTTTTGAAAATCCAGACTAATCCCACAGTCCTGATTCATTTTCAACAAACGCAGGTCTCTCCACACTTTGGAGTGGTACAGTCGTGTCCTCCGCAGGAGTTGCAATACCCTCCTGCCGGCATCTAAACACCACGCCGCTCCACCTATGCCTCCGTGCACCACGCTACGTGCCGGGCATGACCAGCCCTTTTCCAAAGGGCCAAATTCAGCTAGTTGGGGCCAAAGGTCGAAGTTTCTTGCCCAGAGTATAGTCCAAGGGCTTGTATTGCTCTACCTCGTTGGCAGGGTGCTCGAGTCCAAGTAGGCCTAAGCCTGTTGTTTGGGTCCGCTCCAGGTCCACTGATGCTGCTGCTGCTGCTGCTGCGGCTGGTTTGTAGTTTCCCACTGCGGGTGAAAGGGAAAGTATCATATCGACTGCAGATGAGGCACCGTGCTGGTGGACTGCCACTGCTCCCACCCCCACCCCTCCCCCGCGCCATGGACAAAAAGCGGGGCGCAAGGGCCCACAGTGTTGGGGTGGACGTTTGGGGCAAAAAGCAGGACCGTGACTACTAGGGGGTTTTTTAGTAGTTATTTTGGCTCCCCCCAGCAGGGGTGAAAAAGGCCCCATTTTTTAACGGGTTTTGGAGGGTCCCAACAAGGTGGCACCAAAAAATCATCCCCCTGTTGATGGTTATTATTCGGCTTCGCTACGCAAACAAAAGGATGTATGGGCCATTTGTGCCAAGGAATTTCGAGGACTCCCCGCCTCCATCTCCAAGCATACTGCCAAAAGGGGCTTGGGTCTTCTGTCTCCTCCTCCTCCCCTCCTCTACCAGAGTCCCGCTCCTCCATCCCTTTCCCCTTTAGTGGAAAAACCACCCCTTTCACTCAAAAAAATTCCTGACCCAAAGTCCTCCTTACCCCCCTCTCTTCTTCCTTCCCCGCCCCCACAGGGGGATTGGCGTTTGGGTCTGTGGGGCCACTCTACCGCACCCTGAACCCGCCCTTTTTAACAGATTTTTTCCAGGAGTGAACAGAGGAATGAGTCGTTCATCCCAAGGGGCCTGCCCCTAAAAAAAGCGTGGCCTCCTCAAAGGGCCTGAGCAACGCAGGGTCACGCTGAGCTGCCCAAAGGCGACATTTAAATTTAAAAGGGGTCCTTTTTCCGCTTTTTAAATCAGGAAATCTGTGATGGGTTTTCGTGTTCGTAAAAGGCGGTCTAACATATGTAGGGTTGAATTCCACCCTTTTTGCAACGTCAAGCATGAGGAGTCGGGGGGGGCGGGGGGGCCCCTGGCAGATTACGGCCGGCAGCAGCAATGGGAGGCCCGTAATCTCCAGCACCCCCTGAAAAAAAAGGAACCCACCCGCTGTGAGGAGACCCGAAAAGGGGGACAGGCAGAGTGTGGCGATGGAGACAGCGAATGGGAGGGCCCTACAGGGACCCCGAGGACCCCGGGCCTGGCAGACATGAGGACGGTATATAGGGCCTATGGCAATTTTGGGGCCTGGCGCAAACTATAGGAGGCCCATAATCTCCCGCACCCTTGTAAAAAAATTTAACACCCACAGTGTGAGGAGCCTGAAAATGGCACAGGCATGAGACACGTGACCTGGCAGACATGAGGAGGCGGTTAAGGGGCCCTGGCAGATTAGGGGGCCCGGCAGCGATGGGAGGCCGAAAATTTCCACCCCTATGTCAAAAAAAATTTACACCCAGAGTGTGTGAGGGGACCTGAAATGGCACATGGCAGGTGTGGGGATGGGGGACGCAGAATGGGAGGCCGTTACAGGGGACCCCATGAGAGACCTGGGTTGGCGCAACATGGGAGGGGTAATAGGTGGGGCCTATGGCCCAGAATATAGGTTCCTGGCAGCAGCTATAGAGGAGGCCCGTAAATCTGCCCAGCAACCCAAATGTCTCAAAAAATTCCTACACAGCCAGCAGTGTGTGAGGGAGACCAGAAAGTGGCACATGGCAGAGTGTGGCGATGTGAGACAGCCAGCATTGGGAGTACCGTTACAGGGACCCGAAGACAGACTCTGGACCTGGCAGCAGCAAGAGGAGGGGCCGGTAATAAAGGGGCCCAATGGCAGATTATGTGAGGCCTGGCATGCAGCTCTGGGATGCCCATAAAATCTGCCACAGGCGACCGCTTCAGGTACAAGAAAGACCTAACATCACCACACACAGTGTGTGAGGAGAACCTGAAAGTGGCAACATGGCATGAGTGTGGCGATGGAGACAGCAGCAATGGAGGCCGTACAGGGACCCATGAGAGACTCTGGACCCTGGCAGCAGCTGAGGAGTGCGGTATACTAGGGGCCTATGTCATATTAGGGGCCCTGGCAGTCAGCTATAGAAAAGGCCCGTAATCTGCAGCACCCTATGTCAAAAAATTCGTACACACCATCAAGTGTGAGGAGACGCTGAAAGTGGCCAGCATGGCGAGAGTGGTGGCGAATGGAGACAGCAGCAATGGGAGGCTGTACAGGGAACCATATGAGGAGACCTCTGTACTTGCTGGCATCAGCATGAAGGAGGCGGTATATAGGGGCCTATGCAGATTAGGGCCCTGGCAGCAGCAATGGGAGGCCCCCTTAATCTGCCCAGCACCCTAATGACCCCAAAAATTCTCAACCACACCAGCAGTGTGTTAGGAGGAGACCTGAAAGTGTGCACTACAATGGCATAGTGTGGCGATGGAGACAGCAGCAATGGAGGCCGTACAGGGACCCATGAAGAGACTCTTGACCTGGCAGCAGCATGAGGGACAGCGGTATATAGGGGCCTAGGGCCAGATTAGGGGCCTTGCAGCAGCTATAGGAGGCCCAGTAATCTGCGCAGTCACCCTATGTCAAAAAAATTCCAACACACCAGCAGTGTGTGAGGATTAACCTCAAAGTGGTGGCACATGTTTGCAGGCAGCATGATTCATGGCGGATTTAGTCAGTTGGTGGACAGATAAAGAAAGAAGAAAAAAAAAGCAATGGAAAAAAGAGAGAAAAAAAATAAAAAGAAGAAAAAGGAGAAAAAAAAGAAGAAACAAACGAAAGAAAAAAAAAAAAAAAAATAAAAAGGAAAAAAGATGAAAAAGAAAGAAAAAAAAACCTGGTGGTTTGAAATCGTAGACAATCCACGCCCCATGCAGATTCACAAACGTGAGTCTCATGGCAGCAGCTTTGGTTGGACAGTCGTGTCCGCCGCGGAAGTATTACAATACCTGCCTGCACGCGCTATGTCAGAAACAACGCGCTCCGATGCACACGCTACAGTCAGGGTGGGGGAGAGACCTTTCAAGGGCAAATGGCATCAATTGAGGGCCAGAGAGTGGCAAGTTTGGAGACATAGTCAAGCAATGGGATTGTCTACCATCTTTTGGCAGGTGGCTGTCCAAGTAGAGGACCTCAAGCAGGTGTTTGAGGTCCTGCACCAGGTCCACCTGATGCTGCAGGCTGCTGCTGGAAGCGGCGGTTAGTAGTTTTCTCCTTCACTGGCTCTGGGAAGAAAGCTTACTCAACATCGCCTGCACAGACTGATGCAAGCCGCTGCAGGTGGAAGCTGCCCACTGAGCTCGCTACCCACCACCACCCATGTCAAAAAATCAAACCATACTGCCAAGTGCAGCGAACGCGAGACGCACAAGTGGCACACAGTTCCTAGTGAGGTGGAACATTGGCGACACAAATGCTGAGACCAACTGACAACATAGCAGTTTTTTATAGTACGTTATTATTGGCCTCCCTCTGAGCAGGGTTGAATAAGGCCGACCCATGGCAGATTGAACGGTAGCGAGGGTCCAACAAGGTGGACAGCCCAATGTCAGGCCTCGTCTGAATGCCAGCACCCTATTCAAAAAATGTCAACACACGCAAGCAACCGAGATGCTATGAGGGCCATATTGTGCCAAGGAATGTCGAGGGACTCCCCTGCCCCTCTCCACAGCCATACTGGCACATGGCAGAGTGGGGCCACCTGATCTCCTCCTCCTTCACTCCACTAGCAATGCACCTGCTATACCTCCACTCCTGTCCGCCGAGTTACAGGGACCACCCCATTTCACTCAGACAATTGGACCTGGCAGCAGCCAATGATCCTCCTCTACCATCCTTCCCTCTTCTCCAGTCCATGGCCCCATAGGGGTCATGTGGCGATGGAGCTAATCGTGTGTGCTCCCACTTCTACCTCGGAGCCTGACCAGACCATATCTATAGACAGCATTTGTTCAATGAGTGCACAACAGAGTAATGGACGTTCGTTTTCATCCTGATTGTCCTGCCGACTCACGAATAGCGCATGAAGACTCCTCAAAGGACCTAGCAAGCAGCAGGTGTCACGCAGAGCTGCTGCCATATGGCTAGGCAACGGAAGTACACATTGGGTGGATGTACCTTTATCCGCTTGTAACATCAGGAAACTCTGTGATGGCCTTATCGCTGCTCAGTAAAGGGACGGTCTAAACATCTGCCAGCACCCTTGAATCCAAAAAATGTGCACACACGTCCGCAGATCAGAGTGAGGAATGTGGAATTCCCATTCTGAAAGAACTGCACGCACCAAGGAGGGTGTGCTTGCGGTGTATGTAGATGGGGCGTGAAATGCATTGCAATGTTTACGTGACATTTTACAGATGACTTGCCTTGGAGATGACGTTGATTTTAGACCTTGCTCAGACCAACCAGAGATTGCGGTATATAGGGAGCCATGCATGCGCAAGGCACATTACCTTCCTTGACGCAGCAGCTATGGGAGGCATGTTCGTTCCGTTGTCCGGTCACCAATGGTATCCCTATTATCAAGTTTGCGCGGACACACCAGCATCTGTCCGTCTTCTCTCTGTTCATCTCACTCAGAAAGTGGCTCCATGTTGACTACGTTCGCCAAGAGCATACCAGGTGTCAAACAGCGTGATCAGCGTTGCCCCTGCCATGTAGATGGCGGTCAGGTAATGTGGCCCATGGCAGCATTAGGGTGGCGGCTGAGGACACGGCGGAAGCTAGTGTGTAGTAGCCCGTACATCTCTGTGGCCGGACCAAGGACGTCAAAAAAACTTGGGGCAACAGCGGCGTGACCAGTCCAAGTTGCTGGTCGCGGCTTGCCGTCACCAACGTTCACCCAGAGTGCCTACATGGCATGTAGTGTCCCTGACCGTAGATTATAGGAGCTCCCACACGTCGGCACGCTGACGTGCACTTTGCTCGCAAGACCGACATGCTCAAAGACTGGCCCACCAGTCTTCTACATGCTGAAAGCCTGGCTGGCACTGCCTTTTTGGGAAGCAATGACGCCTTGGCACTCTATGACTCCACGAGCGGCCTGCACAAGTGCGATCATTGTCCTCTGAAAGGTGCTGATCCATCCACCTTTGGAAAGGGAGGACTGCAGACGCCAGCGACTTGGACTAGGAGGACGTTCAGCTTTTAGCACCGTCGCGTGTGTGACAGTGCTACGACAGACCTGTTTCTTCTTGGAAACGGCTTACCGAGCCAGACTGCTGTACGGAATCCGTCGAAGAGGACTACAGGATCTTGCCTGAGAGCATGCTGAACGAGGCGGAAAGAGTGTCAACGACGACAACTCCCCTTCTTGCAGAGGTGTTGAGCCATTGCTGGCTGATGGATGGTGGCGATTGACGTCGGGTGACGGAGCAAGTACTGGAGCGGCTGATGGAGCGTGAGGCACTAGCCTCTGCTGCGAATACCGGCGTATCTCGATCACCGGTTCTCCCAGGCCACCAAATGGGGCACGCTGCATAAGAGCTGCTCTGCTCAAACGCTGTGTACTGTCTCACCAACAATTGCCTCTCTACTGCCTACACGCTCTCATGTTGTACTGCCACATACGATCGTCACAATAACACTGTGCAATCTTTACACTCACGCACTTATCACAGCTCTTGTGCAGAGTCGCGCGGCTTGATACACGCAAAACAGCCCATAAAAAATTTGGCACACTACACCTGCTCTAGCGCGAGTTCGGAAACTTTGCCACAGATACTTCCTCAAGTGGCTGACTGCTAGCTATCTCCCGTGCACACCGGCAACAACTCTACTGTGTCGTGGTGGTGTAGGCCTGCCCAGTGGAGCTGGGTGCTCCTATTTCTCCGTGCCGCCTAAGTATCCACGACACCAGTGGCCCTCCACTGACACAATGCTGCGACCGCTGCTGCTGTCCTCCTGGCAGTAACCCACCGACGTCTGTGGCCTCACCTTAACAAGCTGTGTCCGCTCTTTCTCCTGAATGATCGCGGAAGAAATTTGCCTGATTGTCGACGAGCTGCCAGTGCGACAATCTCCTGCATCATCAAGTACAGTCTCTTGGCCTCACTAACTACCCCATAACAGTCTGCTGTCTGGGTCCCTGAGACAGACATTCTGTCTCAAGACACCGGTGCTAACACGGGCCACAATTTCACTGTGCCCTAAGTACTTCTTCGCCTGCCTGGCTGAAGTAGGCCGATGTCTCCCCCCGTTCCTGACCGCCCTGAGTAAGCTCTTCCTCAACTGTGTCAGTAGTGGCTGAGCCCACAGCAGTGCGATACTATCGCTTGTGTGCCCTAATACAACCAAAGGACAGTGGCCCTCAGGTAACAGGACACTGTGAGTTTCAGTGAGCTACAATGTCCCCGGTCCATGCAACTTAACGGTTGTGGTCTGACCGTACCCACCGACCGGAATGCTGTAGGTGTCAGAGGTGACCTGGTAAGCGGAATACTGTACCGAGCCAACCAATCGACGACGGCAGGGTCCTCGTGCAGGTACACGACCAGCTGGAATGACGACCGGGAAGCAACTGTTCTAATGGCCCTGCAGTATACAGTGCAGGGCCTTCTACCCCTGAGTAACAATTCGGCTCGCCATACGTCTGCTCGCCTCCCTAACACATTCCTCCTCTGTGCCACCCTCTTGCATTTTGTCTGATCATACTCTGTAAATAAAACGAATTATGTGTCCCTCTGAGTAAACAGTATTCTGTGTCCCTGAGTAACAATTCTGTGTCTGTGCGAAGTAATAATTCTGTGTGCCCTAAGTAACAGGTTTCTGTGGCCCTCAGTAACAATTCCTGTGTCCCTGAATTAACGGTTTCTGTGGCCCTCTAAGAGGTTATACAGTTCTGTGGCCCCAAGTGTTCAACAGTTCTGTGGGTCTGTGCGCGTAACATTCTATGTCTGTGTCGCTGTAATAACATTTGTGTGGCCCTCTCAGTAACATGTTCTGTGTCCCTGAGTAGACAATTCTGTGTCCCTGATTTGTAGTTGACACATTCGTGGGCCCTA